GCAGCCGGGGCGGGCGGGACGTGGCCGGGGCAGGGCAGGGCAGGGGGCAGTGCCCACCTGGGAGCCTGGCAGGACGGGCACTGCGCTCGTGGGCCGGGCAGGCTAGGCTGTGGGCTGGCAAAGCAGATCGGGGTCCAGCCTCTCCCTTCACGCCTTGCATTGCCCCCTCTTCCCTTCCTCAGGGTGTCCCTGTCTCCCCTCCCTTGTCAGAAACCGGCTTTCCTTTCCTGTTGGTTGGCGAGGGGGCAGGTCTGTTCACACCGGTGCAAAGTCTGTTCGCCCAGCTTCTGGTTTCGCGTAAATGAGAGAAATTGGGAGTCAAAGCCTGTATGTGTCTGTAGCCGTTCTCGCTGCCGCCCGGTGCCTGGCAAAGCAGCGGCGTAGGGGAGTCCCCTGGCAGGCGGCACTCCCAAAGCCAGCGGGTCCCGCCGGGACCTCCCAGGGTTCTTCAGGAGAGTCCCAGGGTCGGGGTGATGTGGGTTTTGGGGCGACCCAAAGTGGGTTTGCCCCGTAATCCCAGCCTAAAAGCATTTTATTCATAACGATGTCAACAGTACACAGGGTTGGGGCTGGCATGTGACAGCCAAGCTTCGAGTGGGGCGACGCGCTGCCCAGGCTTGGTCACAAGAGCCTGCCAGAGGTGGGGACGTGTTTTTCAGGGTATCCTGTAAAGGACTCGGCCTGCTGATCCCATCGAAAACCCAGCTCCTTATTGCAGGCAACATACTTATGACCCAGACCTGAGGGGCTCTCCATTGTCAGGGTGGCAGTGTCAGGTCGGGCAGGGCTCTGCCCAGGCTTCTTAGGGAGAGTCCCATGATGGCAGTTATTTATGGCTTGGGGTGACCCAAAGGGAGTTTTGCCCTCTGATCCCAGCCCAAAATAAGACCCTTATTTTGTGCAATGTACCCGGCCTGCAGGTATTGAGGTGGTGGCAGCTGGCACCCAAAACCAGGGCATCAGGTGAAGCAGGGACCGGCCCAGGCTTCTTTTGGAGAGGCTCTGGGGGGTGACGGGGGGTGTTTTGGGGTGACCCAGAAAGGATGTCCCCCACAATCCCAGCCAAATCCAAGGTCTTTTTTCAGGGCCGTCTACTTGATGCATGATATGATTCTACATTTTATGAGTCAATATTCATTTTAATAACACCCTGACTCTTTAGCTTGAGCAATTCCTTACGAACAACCTTTAATTGTGCAAGGATCAGCATTGAAAAAGGAACTGGGAGTGAGGAACAGAGTAAGAACCGTTGTGTTCGGCCATGTGACTTCCTCCCTAGAGCTGGCTGGATCCACGTGCTGCTGTTAGACAGCGGTGCTGTTACACGGCACTGCTGTACGGCTGTTCTCCCACTGCCCCACCCCAGAGGTGACTGCATCTTGGCACCGGAATGGGCTGTGCTCCTGGTGCAGTTGCTGGAGAGAAGCAGCTGGCCCAGGCTCTCACCCTGTTGCACAACTGGACCAGGGCGGGGAGGTCACATCCTGCCCCTTCCTTGCCCAGATGTTCCCACTTCCCCTCTGGGCCCTGCGCTCCTCTCTGGGCAGAGAGGCCAGGCTCCAGCACTGCTCCCTGCAGACGTGGGAGCTGGGTCTGATGCCAGGAGGGACAAGTAGGGGTCCGTCGCGGGGCTCAGCATGGGTGGCCCGGGCTGTGTGGGGTCCCTGCCCTTCCCAGGCTCATGAGAGCCAGACCCGTTAGCTCCACAGGGAAGGGGACTTCCTCTGTGCCCTGACACACCCCGGCAGGAGGGGACCCAGGTGTCTGGGCTCCCCGTCCCCCACTGCCCCAACCCCAGACCCCACCAGGCTGGGGTGGAACCCAGGTGTCTGGCTCCCGAGTTTTTGCCCCTTTGCTTTCCCCCTCTCCTCCCTCTGCCCGCCTCAGTTCCCATCTTCCCCCTGCAGGAGCCAGGCTGCTGCACCATGGAGCAAGGGGCCCCTGGCACCATTCTGCTGACCCAAATCTCGCCCCCCAGCACCAGGCCAAAGCCCCTGGAGAAGTTCCAGCGGGGTGAGCCGCTGGCCGTGGGGGTAAGTACATCTGCCTGCCCCCCCTGCCCTGGGAGACAAACAGATAGATCTGTCTGGTCAGGGCATCCTGGGCCCAGGTGCTTAGGTGAGGGGCCACGCTGAGAAACTGCAGCAAGGACCAAGGCAGCTGGGGTCAATGCCATGGCAGTGATGCCCCAGCCATGGTGTCCCGGCAGGTCACGCAGGTCCTCACAGGCATCCAGCAGGTCGCGTTCGGAACCGTCCTGATCTTGACATTTGACTTCCACTACCCTGCTCTTCACCTGGGAGCAGTTGTCTGCACTGGCCTCCTGGTGAGCCCGGGGTAGGGGGAGCTGGGGCAGGGCACGTCTTAGAAGCATCCCCAAGATGCCTGAGGCAGCTGACCCTGCACCCAGTGGGCTGGTACCCACAGCGGGGGGTGGGTAGGAGCAGAGTAACCCTGTAGGAATGATCGCAATGCGGTTGGTGCCCTGCAGGAGGGGCTGAGTAACCTCATAGTAACAATGGAGTAACCCCCTTGTGGGACCTGGGTGGCCCCATAGAAGTGACCGAGTAACCCTGTTGTAGGCACTGAGTAACCTCGTCCTAGTGACTGAGTAACCCTGTGGTACGGACTGGGCATCTGTATGGTAGGAAATGAGACCCCTGCAGCAGTGTGAATGCCCCTCTGGTAAGGCCGAGGAACCTGGGAGTAACAAGCGACTATCCCTGTATTAACGTCTGAGAAACCCTGTAGTAACCCCCCGCCTTGTCTTATGGACCCCCCCCCAGCCCATCCACCCCCCCACCCCCAGTCCTTCAGGGCATGACCTACCCCTGCAGCAACACTCACTCAGGACCTGCCAGCTCCACAAGGCTACTGACCCCCACTCTGCCCCTGCAGTGCGTGGTCTCGGGCTCCCTCTCTGTGGCGGTCTCCAGGAACCCCAAGATCCCGCTGGTAAGAGCCGTGGTTCGCGGTGCTACCAGGGCCTGCTGGGCATGGAGCCTGGCGGGGAGAACTGAGGTGTGCAGGGCGGGAATTGCCGGGGACCCTCTCGCCAGGGCCCTCTGGAGTATTGGCACAGCCTGTCCCCCTCCCCATGGGCTATAGCCCACCCCCCCAGAGCCAGCCGTGTCCAGCTGGGGGGTCAGGTTTCAGCTCTGTGCCTCCCAGGTGGGGGGTCAGGGCAGCACCAGTGGTGAGGGCGGTCTAGGGGGAAAGCTTGGGGGTTCAAGGGGAGTCTTTTCCACATGGCTGAAGGGTCCTGCCCCCATGCCCCACAGATGAAGATGGAGCTGGCCTTGAACTCAGTGAGCACGGTAGTGGCTGGCGTGAGCATCGTGATGCTCTGCTTATCCGTGATGTTCACCCACAATGCCCACTCCTGCTACTGGCACCAGGGCAAGAGGACCTGTGACTATCCCCCCACAGAGGTCCAGGTGAGCCGGGGCTGCAGCAACCAGGACCAGGAGCAGGGGGCACTGGGGGTGGGTGCAGGGGTGGCCGGTGCCCGCTGCGGCAGGTGCTGTGCATGACGGTCTCCACCCCACTTAGGACATCCTGCTCGCCCTCAGCCTGGTCCTCATGGCGCTGACGCTGCTGCAGCTCTGCCTGGCACTGACCCGTGCAGCCTTTGGGTGCAAAGCCATCTGTCGGGACAGCTACCTTGACTTGGTAACACCAGGCACCTCTGTGGTTCCTGGAGTTGGGTGGGAGCACCACAGGGACAGCCACAATGTTTGGTCGACAGCCTGGCTGACACAGGAGGGGCTGGGGGTTTCCTGCACTGAGCAACCCAGGCTCTGCTCCAGCGGGGAGGGGTGCATGACCCAGGGAAGGTAGAGACGGGCAGCTCGGATACCAGGGTTCTGCCCCTGCCCTGGGAGGGGCATAGGGGCTGCAGGGTCAGAGCAGGGACCCTTGCTACTCCCTCAGCTCTGGGAGAGGAGTTGGTGACTGTGCATCTGTCCATCTGTCTCTCTCTCCAGGCTGTGGTGATTTACCAGGACACAGCACGTCCCACTGACCCCACCTGCACCGCAACGTCTGGGACCCTGTGAAATTCTCGCAGGACCAGCCAGGATCATGCTGGGCACAGATCAGTGCTGGTTCTAGGAACAAGGAAGCAGAGACCGGAGGGTGTGTCTGTCTGTACCAGCAGCGTGAGCCTGTGGCACAGGAACAGCCACTGTAGCGAAAACCCCAGGTGGTTGTTTTTTTTTACTTACAAATACATTCTCTCTCCTTCTCCAAACATTTCTGACTCTTTCTTTGCCCCCTCTATCCCTTATAAGTAGTCATAGGTAAGCTAAGATAAGTTCTTGTATGCCATTATTGTAACACATCCCTTTTTATATTGTTGTAACCCGGGCGGTACTCCAAAAGGTACCCCCTCTCCAATTGAAGGGATCAAAGCAGGTGCACAAGCGCTGTGGGAGGTGTAGGGACTGTCCTCCCTGTATAGAGCAGAGCCAGACCACCACTGGGGACTTAACCATATACATGTTAATGAGGGAACAATACTGGGAACATAACAGGCGTAATCAGGGGGTATAGTGGACACTACAATGCCCCAAGGGGCAGGGTTCCACAAAGGTTAGACACTTACAATCATTGGCAAAAGACAGGGTTAACAAAATATAAAACACAAACAGCAGAGCAAACAATGCTGGTTGGGGTAATATAAAAAGGCACAAAATACAAAATGTCAAATGACAAAGAAATATAGGGCCTAGATACCTGGAGGGGGAGAAAACACAATTACCCCTTTCTACTTCAAGGGGAATTTCTCCTTATTAGCACACTCACTCCAAGTCACCAAAGCTGAGATTTGAGCTTGGATCTCCCATGTGGTAGGTAGGAACACGGCCACACAGCCACCAGTGCTGGTACTGCTTCAAGCTGCTAGGGGTTTTCACCTTGCTGGAGCCCTAGCCTCACATTGAGCTGCCTGGTCTCTGACTG